CTAGGTCTGGAGAGCCCTGCCCTCATGTAGCTCCCAATACAGTGGGAAAGACAGGCACAACACTGTGATAAGACATCCAGGTGAGGGGGAGATCAGAGTTAACTAAAGGATGAGAAGGCGCTGCACCAGAATGGGATGGAACTGAAGACAAGAGTACCTGGGGTGCTGACCATCAGCAGAGGGAGAGCTGTCTGCCAAGGCGCTGAAGGTGGGACGTGTAGAGAAACTTCAGGTAGCGCTCTATGCCCCAGGGCAGAGCTAGAGAGATAAGAAGAGTCCAGATTGTGAAGGTAGTTAGACACTGCTGAACAGTTGGGCTTTATTTTGAGAGTTATGGCGAATCCCTGGAGGGCTTTGAGCAGGACGGGTAACATCAGATCTGCCTTTTTGAAAGCTCCCTCTGACAACCACGTGAAGAGGGTATCTGAGGGCAGTAAGACCCAAGGCAGGTAGAAAAGTGACCCAGACATACCTAGATCTCAGAGGGTCTCCTTTTCTCACTGTTGCAGTTGTGAGCACAGAGGTGCTCAGAACCCAAGAAGAATGGGAAGCCGTGGACAACATCCAGCCAGAGACAGGTAACTGCAAACGTGGCGCGATCTCCATACGACCAGCTGTTAGTAAAGGCACCATCCACTTGGGCGGCTACAGTGTCTGTGACTGGGATTAGGAGGCAAAATTCCTGAGTGGTCATATTTTAGCTGTGTGACATAGAATAAAATCTCTTTTCAAGATCCAAAGAGATGACATTGTGGAGGAAATGGGAATGAATGCCCTGAGTAAAGGGCTGCCTCTCCCCAGCCCTGAGAGAAGACAGGGAGGGCGTTGGTCAGGGTCAGCTTCTATAGGGCGATGAGGTCAGGCAAAAGGATGGAGGCAGGCAGCCAAGGCCCCTACCTAAGGTTATTCACTATGCAAGGCAGTCCCTGGAGATGGGCGCTGAAGCCATCTGCTGGAAGGCTCTGAGGGCTTGGTAAAAACGTCTCACACCCCTTGCTGAGAGCTGCAGGAAAACAGAAGCAGGACCCGTTTCTTGCCTGAGCCCCACTAGAGCTCCTGGAAAGATGTTAGAGTAAATTCTACCAGCCATCACCTCTACTGCTAACTAATAAGTTAATTCCCTGTGGACTAGAACAAAGGATGGAGAGGGGGGTCATTCATATACAGGGTGTGAGAAGAGGCAAAGTAGAATTAAGAAAGGTCCCTAAGCAAACCTGTGGCACGCTCTTACATGGGTACCTACTCAGAGCAGTGACTTGGCCTCTCACAGATGAGAGGAGTTTGGGGAGCTCCCAGGGGGCAGATCTGTCCCCTGCTCACTGCAGAGGTCAGCCTAGCAAGCTTCTGAACAGCTGGGTCTGAAAAGGGACTTGGCCCAGCAGGGGATGCCAGCCCCTTGAAAGAGGATTGGTTGTAGCTTTGGGTGTCTGATATTTACAGCTAGAGGCCAGTTCTGGGCTTGGAGGTGACAACTGGACAGCCCTCAGTAAATGTTTGCTCACACAGTGAGTACTATTATAAATCCTGGGGTGTCTTCTGTCTTGGTGTAGAATTAACCTCTGGTCATTCGCAGAATGTAAAAGCATTTACGAGACTCTACAAGAGTATCCAGAGAAAAGATTTATTGCAAGTTAAAAAGGGAGAGAGAGTTCTGTTTGGAACTGGCAGAAGTTTTGCCAGGACAGTCTGAGAGGGAGAGCTGCAGAAACAGAGGAATAAGAGAGTTGTCCCAGGACAGAGTTCAATGGGAGACAACTGCACCAATGAGGAGTGCTGGGGTTTTATATTTTTCTAAGCAGGATGTAGGGTGCTTGTCAGTTTGCAGGGGGGCTGCTGTTACAATTATATTCTCCTGGGAACTGTCCTGTTCCTATCTATGATGGATGTCAGCTTGCTGGAGGTTGCTGTTGTGATTGGGAACTGTTCTGTTCCCACCTATGATGGGTGATTGTTAGTGTGCAGGGAGTTGCCATTGTGATTGGGAACTGTTCTGTTCTCACCTATGATGGATGTAAGGTGCTTGTCAGCCTGCATGTGCAGTGCTAGCCAGGGAAGTCAGAGCCAAGCAGTTAATGTTTAAACTCGTTCCTGTTAGCCCACAAGCTCGTGCCTGTTAACTCTTTGCCCGTCCCATCCTCCCAGCTCACAAGCTCCCGTTAACTCTTTATTTGTCTCATCATCTTCCCTTTTACCACAGGGAGCCAGGCCAGCTCAGACCAGCCTGGGCAGCTAATCTCCTTCAGCGAGGCCCTGCAGCATTTCCAGACTGTGGACCTCTCTTCCTTCAAGGTATGACAGTAGGGACGTTTGAGATCTCAAGCAAAGCACCCTCTTCCCAGGAACCAGGTTTCTGTCCCACCAGGGCACAGCACTGGGCAAGCAAGATGGAAGCTTCCAGCTGAGGGCCCGGTCTCACCTAAAAATCTTGGGGCACAGGGTCATGGGTAGCCAAAGACCCATGTTTCCTGCAGGACACTGGTGGCATTTCTGGGACTGTATCCTAGAGCTCTGTGGCCCTGTCATGTAGAGCTCCATGTAGCTGCTCCCCACTCTTTCCTCTTAGGGACGGGGAGGTCTGGAGTCAAATGCTAGGGAGTTCCTTGGGGAAGCAAGGCAGCCTGTCCAGAGAACAAAGTAACTCATGGTAACCTAGGAAAAACTTCCATTCCCTTCTGGGAATTTAAAAAATGTGTGGGATTGGAAAAAGAATATTGAGGGCCAGCCGAGTGGNCTGGTTCCTTGTTCTCAAGAACTTGCTGTTCTTACCAGACTATCAGGATCTGCACAGGCATTTGCTTAGGCTGCAGAAAGTATCTAGTAGCAAGCAGCTCTCAAGGCTGCAGCAAGTGGCAGGCAGCTCTCAGCAGCTCTCATGGCTCCCAACACCGGCCCAAGTGCCAGATAGTTTTAATTGTACTAAACAATTACAATTTATTTCAGATTGCTCTCAGCTACTTTAAATTAGTAGGCTGATTAAGTCAGGAATGCTGTTTACTATATGAATAAGTGGAAGAGAGCCTAAATAAAGGAGGCAGTCAAACAAAGGAAAAAAAGATAAGGAACCATACCAATATGAGCTGCGTTTATTATCCTAAAGATTTCTGTTTTGCCTCCATTTTCTTTTGTTAGAGGGAAATTAGTATTTATATCAATATTATCTTCCGATGGAAGAGTCTACCTTGTTCCATAAAGGAAGGAAAGAGACACTCTTACATGGTTTGGTTATTTGTCACCAGTTTATTAGGCACCAGATTTCAATTTCTAATTGAGACCTGTGGTTTCTGTTGACTCATCTGGTGTCACAGCAAATTCCCACACCCTTACTGGTGAGGTTTCTGCTCCTTCATCACAGTCTTTGATCAAGTTGTTTGTTGGTGAGGGTGTATCCTGGGGTGAAATATTGACTGAGTTGCTTGTAATGAGGACCAGAAGGGTGAAGAGTCAACAGGCCTGGGTGTAGGTGAGAGGTGAAGGGTCAGAGCTCCGCTTCAGTGTCGTAATGAGCATTCATTGCTGCTATTCCACTCTGCTCTTTTTGTTCAGCCACTTTGTCCCTCCTTTTCTCCCAAGGGCCCAGCATGCTGGAATGAAGTTGTTGTTGGTTTTTCTCCACCATCCAAGGACAAGTATTATGTATTCTGTTGAAATTATCCAGCTTGGAAGCCCTGAGGCTCAATGTCTGCTGTCCCAGTCAGAGTTTGGGGCTGGCAAGATTGAATTTCCCAGAGGTCCAAGCATTGAGGACCCTGGACCCATCTCATCTGCTACCGCTATTCCCCGCCCTGCTAGACCCAAGTCCACAACTGTCCATATTAGCTAGCATGTACTGGGCACTTACCTTTGAGCCGCATACACTCCTAAGAAGTCAAAGAGTTACATCATCCTCACAGTAGTCCCATAAGTGACTACAGATGGTTAAGTAACTTGCCCAAGAAAAAACAGCTAGTGAGAGTGGTGGACATGGAACGTTCACAAGCAATTTGTCTCTAGAGTATGTTTCAGCAACCATCCTCTACTGCTTGCTAGCAGATTTCACTTCCTAATTATCCACTACTGTTTTCAGTTTGGGGTAGAATGTATTTAATTTTCAAGTGTACTTTCAAAACAGTTTATTGTCCTGTGGCGTCCTTAACCAAGAGTGTGAGGCAGAGAGGAACTGTCTTAAACTACTTTTACTACTGAGGCTGGAGAAATCATGATTTTTGATATTTAACTGAAGTTCCTCCATCCTGCCCTCTTATTTGTTGATGTCCTCCATAGCAAATGTGAAAAGCCAGTGACAGGACACACCACTAGCAATTTGGGCTACAGTGTTTCATTGTGCTTTCATTCATTCATCGAGCATTTGTTGCACTCCTATCATGTGTCCGGCACTGTGCTAGGTCTGGAGAGCCCTGCCCTCATGTAGCTCCCAATACAGTGGGAAAGACAGGCACAACACTGTGATAAGACATCCAGGTGAGGGGGAGATCAGAGTTAACTAAAGGATGAGAAGGCGCTGCACCAGAATGGGATGGAACTGAAGACAAGAGTACCTGGGGTGCTGACCATCAGCAGAGGGAGAGCTGTCTGCCAAGGCGCTGAAGGTGGGACGTGTAGAGAAACTTCAGGTAGCGCTCTATGCCCCAGGGCAGAGCTAGAGAGATAAGAAGAGTCCAGATTGTGAAGGTAGTTAGACACTGCTGAACAGTTGGGCTTTATTTTGAGAGTTATGGCGAATCCCTGGAGGGCTTTGAGCAGGACGGGTAACATCAGATCTGCCTTTTTGAAAGCTCCCTCTGACAACCACGTGAAGAGGGTATCTGAGGGCAGTAAGACCCAAGGCAGGTAGAAAAGTGACCCAGACATACCTAGATCTCAGAGGGTCTCCTTTTCTCACTGTTGCAGTTGTGAGCACAGAGGTGCTCAGAACCCAAGAAGAATGGGAAGCCGTGGACAACATCCAGCCAGAGACAGGTAACTGCAAACGTGGCGCGATCTCCATACGACCAGCTGTTAGTAAAGGCACCGTCCACTTGGGCGGCTACAGTGTCTGTGACTGGGATTAGGAGGCAAAATTCCTGAGTGGTCATATTTTAGCTGTGTGACATAGAATAAAATCTCTTTTCAAGATCCAAAGAGATGACATTGTGGAGGAAATGGGAATGAATGCCCTGAGTAAAGGGCTGCCTCTCCCCAGCCCTGAGAGAAGACAGGGAGGGCGTTGGTCAGGGTCAGCTTCTATAGGGCGATGAGGTCAGGCAAAAGGATGGAGGCAGGCAGCCAAGGCCCCTACCTAAGGTTATTCACTATGCAAGGCAGTCCCTGGAGATGGGCGCTGAAGCCATCTGCTGGAAGGCTCTGAGGGCTTGGTAAAAACGTCTCACACCCCTTGCTGAGAGCTGCAGGAAAACAGAAGCAGGACCCGTTTCTCGCCTGAGCCCCACTAGAGCTCCTGGAAAGATGTTAGAGTAAATTCTACCAGCCATCACCTCTACTACTAACTAATAAGTTAATTCCCTGTGGACTAGAACAAAGGATGGAGAAGGGGGTCATTCATATACAGGGTGTGAGAAGAGGCAAAGTAGAATTAAGAAAGGTCCCTAAGCAAACCTGTGGCACGCTCTTACATGGGTACCTACTCAGAGCAGTGACTTCGCCTCTCACAGATGAGAGGAGTTTGGGGAGCTCCCAGGGGGCAGATCTGTCCCCTGCTCACTGCAGAGGTCAGCCTAGCAAGCTTCTGAACAGCTGGGTCTGAAAAGGGACTTGGCCCAGCAGGGGATGCCAGCCCCTTGAAAGAGGATTGGTTGTAGCTTTGGGTGTCTGATATTTACAGCTAGAGGCCAGTTCTGGGCTTGGAGGTGACAACTGGACAGCCCTCAGTAAATGTTTGCTCACACAGTGAGTACTATTATAAATCCTGGGGTGTCTTCTGTCTTGGTGTAGAATTAACCTCTGGTCATTTGCAGAATGTAAAAGCATTTACGAGACTCTACAAGAGTATCCAGAGAAAAGATTTATTGCAAGTTAAAAAGGGAGAGAGAGTTCTGTTTGGAACTGGCAGAAGTTTTGCCAGGACAGTCTGAGAGGGAGAGCTGCAGAAACAGAGGAATAAGAGAGTTGTCCCAGG